ACAGTTAAGTGTGGCGTGAGCGAAGCGAGCGCGACTGAGCCCTTGTTTTGTTTTTAATAAAATGGTTTTACCAACTTTAAACTAAATGTTTGTGTGTTTTAATTTTAAACTTACCAATTTTATATATAGTAAAAATATTAAATATTTGTTTTATTTTGTTATTTAGTGTATTTATGTTTAAAAAACTAATTTTCAATACTTTAGCCAATTTTCGCTCAACAACTCGTTGTTAAATGTGTCCATGTTCATGTTAACGTGTTGTGTGATGCAACTTTGCAAGGACAGCGTGAGCATTAAAGCCGACAAGTGTCAACATTAGCATCTTACCTCATGTTGCTTAGTTTGCACTTTAAATGCAACAGTCGTAACAGTGCACACCTTTTCGTCCCTTTTCTATATTGGTGTCGACTGTTACTGTTTTGTCTCTGACTCTAACTGACAGTCTATTTTAGTTTGGCAATTTTCCCCCATCCATTCGGTGTCCTCATTTGCTTTAACTTGATGTTGTCTGTTCAACTAACACACACACATTTACACATACAACTGCGCACATTTGCGCATTTACCGTTTGTTTTTGTTTTCATTATTTTTGTTTTTATCACTTTTTTGAAAATTTTTTTATTTTCACTTTCATTTTACCTGTCAAAAATTGAAGTTTTTCAGGTTAAATTAATTTTAACAAGATTTTTAAAAGCAAAAGTTTTTAAAAATGTCTGTTTTCTGTTTCAGTATTTAATAAAGGCTTAACAATAAAAACAAATCGACACTTAATGCAATAACTAAAGCAGTGTGACACTTTATTCAATGGCATCGTCTGCCAATGCACATTTAACCTGTATATTGCAGCAGCCAAAACATCGCACAACTTTTGTGCCGTTTCTTTCGTCGAACACTACTTGATGGTGGTATGTTGTTGCATCCGTTATTTCACTGTTCTTATTACTATTCGACTGCCAAACACAATGCCAAAGTAAATTGAATAACTCAGATATTTTTTCATGTTTACCGAAATGTGACCACCATCAACTTTTCTTCAACTGTAAATGCCGTTTAATCTCAATGGCAGTCTATAGTTTTGCGGCCTTTCATAGCTCCTTTACAACTGCTGACATTTGCATGGATTTTAAAAAGAAAAACCGAAATATACCCAACAACTTCTACAGCTACTGCAAACCAATAGTTTCACAAAATGCACTCTGAACTTATTTGAAGTTTGAAATTGATCCTAACATTGTGTATTGTCATATGGCCATATGTTCAAAGTTGATGCCCTGCCGCACAGTCTCACTTTGCACAGTCCGCGCTAATCACTGACTGTCAACTGTCGGCGACTTATCGGCTAAAGTCAAAACACCCTATTATCATCTCTTTAGAGCTTAAAACCCAAACTTGAACGTTTTTTGGTGCTTTGACTGAAAATCACAACACGTAAGACATTTGCCATTTTTTCGCATCTGCAAACACTTTAAATAATTAACAAAAGAGTACTTTTCCACTCATCAACTAGAAACTTTAAGTTTAATCAGGAATGTCTACAATAATGCACACACTAATGCCTTTACCAAAAAACGTGATGTACAGAGAAAATAATATCGTTGAACTACTTTGACTGACTGAATGATTGAAGAAAAAACTGAAATAACTAGCGCGTTAAATGTTAAAGGTTAGAAACTAAATAAAAAAAGACAAAATTTGAAATGCGACCCTCATCATCATCATCAATGCGCAATCAGAAAGCCAATCACTCGAGCAACAGTTGAGCCGGGCAATTTCAATTAACAAAACCTAACCTTTAAAGGATGAACTTGTTGCGTAGATCGTATGGCCTTGTAATCCAAGCGGGTTGACTAAACGAGTCCTCTACACTGCAACTCTTCACCAGCAGCATATAACCTTTCAATTTAGTCACCAAAGTAGTCATCAACTTTCATTCAGCTCATCATGATCATCAGCGCTGTCAACTCAGTCCGGTGTCGTCAGCAACAGCAGCAGCAGCAGCAGCAGCAGCAAATGTTACTGGTGCAGCCTTCGCCACCAGCAGCATCAGTCATCATCAGCAGCACTGGTGAACCCATTTGCGGCTTCACCACTATCACCAGCCATCACCATAAAAGCGGTCCACTCGAAACGCGCCCTCTCATTCGCTGTCTCGGCAAGCGCACTTCAGCAGACAGCAACAAGCGGCAAGAGGAGTATCACCAGGAGCAACTCCATCATTTTTCCACTGTTCACCGTAAACTTTCCACCTGTGCCCACGAGTGGCCTTCCTCATCACCCTCAACACCCTCATCACCCCCATCACCATCACCACCTGAGTCCACCATGTCTCCTCGACAGATAGCAAAGTGCGCGACCTTTCTCACGCTGACCGCCCTCACCGCCCTCGCCCTGGTCGTCATTGTGCGCACCATTCTCTTTACGCCCGCCGAGGCCGATCTCTACTGTTCGTCGGTGAGCGCCAATGGCGCCGGTTCCAATGGCGGTGGCGACGTTCAGACTTCAGCCGACCACAAGGCCATCACCGCCGATCGAGGCCTCATTGAGCGTTTTCAGCAGGCGCTGCGCTTCCGGACGGTGACCAAGGCGCCCAAGGACTACAGCGTCAATGAGACGCACCGATTCATACACTTCCTCCAGAGCAGTAAGTACCTTTCCACAGTAAAGAGAGAAAGAGAGAAAGCTGAGAAAGTCTTTATATTTTACCAAGTGCATTTTTCTTCAGCAAAAACACCATTGACTAACACTTGGCAGTAGTTTTTTCTTGCCAATTTGCCCTTTTGAAGTAGTGTACGAAGTGAAATTAAATTACTGTCTGCCGGTCCCCCTAAGCTCAAGTTGCAGCAACAGTGCTCCCCAGCACTTGCCACACTTTACTACTCGCACTGCTCTAATCACTGCTCTTATCTGCTTTCTATCTTTCTTTCTCTCTTTCTGTCACCCTCCTTATCATATAACTATCACTACCATTCACTGTCTATCTACCATTTTCTTGTATTCCTCTTGCAGACTTCAGTCGCGTGCACTCCTCGCCACTGGTCACCCTGGAGATCGTGAACGGTCTGAGTCTGCTGTACCACGTGAAGGGCTCCAATAGCGCCCTCAAGCCGTACATGGTGCTTGCCCACCTAGACGTTGTCCCCGTGCAGGAGCACATGTGGCGAGTGCCGCCCTTTGACGGTGTTCTCCAGGACGGCTTCATCTACGGCCGAGGGGCACTCGACTTGAAAAGCGTCGTCATGGTAAGAGACAGTGCACTGTGTAATCTAATAGCAGGTATTTACAAGCTCATCACTAACATGCACACCATTTTTAGGGCGCCCTCGAGTCGCTGGAGTTTATGCTGGAGCACGGCACGCCCATTGAGCGCTCCTTCTACATTGCCATCGGCCACGACGAGGAGGGCAGGGGGCTGGACGGCGCCGCCGAGATCGCCCGCTACATGACCGGCCGCGGGCTGAACGACGTCGAGTTCATCCTCGACGAGGGTCCGTACATCTTCCGCAATGCCCTGCCCGGCCTCTCCGCCCGCGACGTGGCGATGATCGGCGTCGCAGAGAAAGGGCTCGTCAACATGCGCCTCACCGTCAACGGCACCGTCGGCCACTCCTCACTGCCGCCCCGGGAGACGGCCATCGTCAAGCTGGCAAGGGCCGTCTCCAAGCTGCACGCCAACTCGCACCCGAACCAGTTCGGCCAGGGCCCGGAGCGGGACATGGTGGAGGCGATGGCGCCCTACGCCTCCCTGCCCTATCGCATTCTCTACTCCAACCTGTGGCTCTTCTCGCCGTTGGTGGCCCGCCTGCTGGAGGCCGACAAGCTGATGAACAGCTTCATCCGCACGACCACTGCAGTGACCATCTTCCAGTCGGGCATCAAGGTCAGTGGAATTTCGGCTGTCCTCATAATAATTGGGCTGTTTTGGCTACTGTACCAAAACCCAATCGTGCAAAAAAACCCTCACTGCTGACCTACACTATACATTTTATCTCTCTAACTCTCCCTCTTTATCAATCCACCACAGGATAACGTCCTTCCGGGGCGCGCAGAGGCGACTGTCAATCACCGCATCTACCCTCTGAACAGCGTCGCTGACACGCTGGCCACCGACGTGGAGGTGATCGACGACGAGGACGTCGACGTGGCCATTCTGGGCCGCGCTATTGAGCCGCACCCCATATCGCCCTATGGAGATGACACCTTCGGCTACCAGACGATTCGCGCCTCCATTCAGCAGGTCTTCCCCGGCATCGCCATCATCCCGGGGATGATGTACGCGGCTACTGACACCCGCTGGTTTCTTAACTTTACCCGCAACATCTACCGCTTCTCGCCCGCCTACATCACCCTCGACGACTTTGGAATGGTGCACGGCCACAATGAGCGCATCAGCGAGGAGAACTACCTCAAGCTGGTCAACTTCTACCACCACGTGATGCTCAATGCCAACAAGGCGCAGCTTGATCTTCCTCCGCCCAAGGATGAATTTTAATACATTTTTCGTTCTTTTACCATTGTGAAGAAGGGGGAGAGGAGGGGATCGCTTCATTTGCATAATTCTACAAAATTAATAATAAAAAGAATACAAAAACAATCACAAGGGTGAAGAGGAGGGGCAATGGAGTGTGTGACTGACTGCTAACATGCAGCAGTTAGTTCAATGGTACGGCAACACTAACACGCAATGACACAGTGTTATAAATAAATAAAAAAGGAGGGAAGGAAAAGGAGAGAGGGCAATAAGTAAAGTGCCACAAGAAGAAACAATCAAACTGGCGTGAAAGGAAGAAACAGAAAGGGGGGAAAAAGTTTGCATTTAATCCGATTTGCCACTTTTCTCCGGTTCCTCGTCCTGCTCGCGAATGTCATCAATCTCCTCGTGGCCGCCGAGAATGGCATTGATGAGAACCTTGACGATGAGCTGTTGGATCAAACAAAAAGATGAGTTAGCAAAATGAGCTCAAATGCGCTGATTAAACGTACCGTAGCCCAGTAGACGTTCATCGTAAAGATGAACCAGAGGAGAAAGTAGAGGAGAAAACCGAGGGGAAACCAGGTGCCGACTGGATTGCTGCTCAGGTAGAGCACCGAGCTGTAGATGACGCGCAGCGGAAAGTAGTACAGGCGAAAGACGAACCAACAGGCGACAAAGGCGAGGAAGCAGCCGACGCGCAACGTCTCCGTCAGCCGAATCACCCATTTGTTGGTGAACCTCATCTTGATGATCACCTTGCAGCTCTCCATGATCACATCGCAGATGTCGTGCAGGTAGAGCACGAGAATGCCGATGCGGTGCGTGCGCGTCAGGTAGCTGATAGAGATGAGCAGGAGGGCGATGATGTGGTGGAAGAAGAGGACAGCCGAGTCCTTGCTCCACGCGTTGATGTAGAGGACGGCGTAGAGACAGTGCAGGTAGTGCGCCGATTCGAGCATGTACAGCGCCCAGACCAGAACGGGCACCTGGTCGGACAGGCTGAAGCCTGAAAAGAAGAGTGAGTGAGTGAGTGAGTGCTTGATAAGGATAAGAAAAGGGTGAACAGTACCGNGCCCAGACCAGAACGGGCACCTGGTCGGACAGGCTGAAGCCTGAAAAGAAGAGTAAGTGAGTGAGTGAGTGCTTGATAAGGATAAGAAAAGGATGAACAGTACCAGTCCACAGTCGGTCAGGGTAAGTGAGGTACTGATTCTGGCTCTCGATGATGGCCGCCATGGTGAAAGAGCTGCCGTAGAAGATGAGACTGTACAGGGACTCGGAGAAGCGAGTACTACTTCGACTAGTCAGCAGCTGGTGCTTGAGAAGAATCTGGGGTAAAAGAGGGAAAGGGTAAGGTAAGGTAATCAAAGGTGATTACAGTAGTGGTGTCAAGTGGTCGAAGGATAAGTGGTACTAAGAGAGATAGACAGCAAAGCAGTGTTGCAGGCTAGACAGACGGACACTTACGCCAATGAGCAAGTTGCAGAAGAGCGTTCGAAAGAGCGTCAGTGCGATGGCGCCCCCCACGGCGACGGCCAAATCGAACTGGTAGTGAGGATTGTGCTGGAGAAGGAGCTGCACACTGGGGCCCAGTTCGCCCACTGACTGGCTGACCGACTGGGAGGAGAGCAGGCCGTAGTAGTCGGTGAAGCGGTCCGCAGTCAGGCGCAGCAGCTCAGGGTAGCTGGCGTTGGAGAAGGCCTCCACCGGGGGAAGTGCACGACCGTACGAAGACATGGTCGGCTGAGGGGAAGAGGATGAGGTGATGAGGTGAGGTGAAAAAGAAAAAGAGAGATAGGGTGATGAACGATGAAAGTGGTGGTAAGGGGATGATGGCAAGTGAGATCAGAGGAAATCAAAGAAGACAGCGGCTTATGGTCACCAAAGCAGAAGAGCAGCGACAGCAGCAACAGTGGTGGTGGTGAAAAAAGAAAAGGAAAAAAATGTTGCGTCTGCTGCTGCGGACCGTCTGCCTGCGATGAGGGTGAAGCGTGAAATGACAGCTAGGCGACCGATAGCGACCGTCTGCCACCGCTGCTGTCGCCGGTCGACGACGGTGGCGCACAGATGAGCAATACTGATGGCCTGCACTGTACAGAGCACAGACACCAGTGCCACCAGCGGGGATGGCTGCTGCTGCTGCTGCTGCTGCCTCGGCCAATGTTGCAGCTACCGCCACCGCCGCCAACGCCAATGATCCTTCCTCTGTCCACTACTGTACGACAGCAGCAGCAGCAGCAAAGGCGAGTACTGATTGTCACCAGGGGCAAAACGGAGCGCCACTGAGCGCTGATCACCGATTGATAAGAGGGGAACAGTGGTCGGTGTGTGTGTGTGTGTGGTACGGTTAAGCCGACGACGACGACGACGACGACCGGTGACTACTGATGAATGAGAAAGTGTCAACTGTTGGTGGTGGTGTTGCACTGTAGTGCGCTGGTGGTGGTTCACGCGTTTGCACTGATTGATGACGGCTGATCAGTGCAAATCAGTGGCGGCTGGCAGATCACCTCGCCATGAATCATTTCACTGTAATGTGCCTTTTTCGCTTCTTCAGGAAGAAGTAGATGCTATCAGCAGCAGCAGCAGAAACAGCACTGAGTGGACACAACTGTCGCTGACTTTGCCTTCACTAGAATTTTCCCCGCGTCATCGTTTCAAATGAGCAGCTTCAGCTTCAATTGCTTGCAAGTGAGCATTCAGTGTGCAGTAGTAGTAGTAGCAGTAGGCTGAAAAGTGTGGCCCAGGCACGTGGCACTGCGATAATGCAAGTTGACTAATTGACTGAAAACTTTACGACGCGAATACTTCAACGTTGACACTGACTTGTTGCTGAAACTTGAAAATGATGTAGAGTAAAGCTGACAAAACGAACACACTAAGGCGCAGAACTAAAGAAGAAGAAGAACATTGCACGTCACTTTTAAACTGCTGTTTTGTTTCTGCCGCTGCTGGCTGGTTGACTGACTGACTAACTGCAGTGACCACCGCCGGCTTACCAGTTTGCCACCAAAATGAGCGAGTGAGTGTTGAGTGAATGAGTGAGTGAGTGAATGAATGAGTGAGTGGTGCCACTGATCGGACAGATGATTGTCAGCAGCAGCAGCGTGTCCGCCAGTGTGCGCCAGCTTTATTTTATTGTCTGCCTAATGTGACTACATAACACACACACACTCACAGTGGTGTGGTGTAGTTCTGCCTGCGTTCACCGGGCAATCACTGCACAAATGACTGCTGACTGACTGACTACACACTACACACTGGACACAAACTGACGAATGAAACAGGTTTCATCACCATCAGGACGGCGAAAAGGGCAGAAAAAGAAGGTGACACTCGCCGATTAAGGAAGGGGAAGAGGGGAGGGAGGGGGTACACGCAGCTATACCCAAAGGTTTTCTGGCCTAAGCTTTAGCTATTTGTCTTTTGGTAGTACCAACAGGAACACTGCTGGACGCTGCTGTCGCCGCTGCTTTACCAGGTGTAGTAGACACTCAGCTGAATTTCTCCCTTCTCTCCTTTTTACTCACCTCTTATCACCTGACTAAAAGAGGTATTTTGTTATTCTTTCCTTTCTTTTCCCTCTTTCTCTTCCTCTTTTCCTTTTCTTACTTCTTTTTCTCCCTTCCATAACGATCACCTGCCAAGCTCTACGCAACGAGATAATTAGCAGTTTGGCG